ATATATGTTTGCATATATATACATGACGTACTTATGTATTATATATGTACGTAGTTATGCATTTATATATGCATATGTGTGTGTGTGAATAAAAACATATATAACACATGTGGGGAGAGTTTGAAGTACAAAGAGATTACTAAAAGAAGAGAAGATGTTCCTGTTATGTGAACCCATGATCTCCAAGACATCTCCTAGTCAATGTGTACACGCCCACACACATATAAGCATGTTTATCAAAGTTCATCAACAATGTATAACGAATACTGACCACATGCATAACCAACTGCCAACCACAGAAAATATCCATCCTTCCAAGTCCTCTTTTTTGCTTTGTCATACCTGAAATAGAAAAACTAACTAGTAAGACTAATGAGATGTGGATAAAATATGAATGTAATGTATTATTTGTGCATAGAAACAAAATAAGATCTCCCAACTATTGAAGGAATCGTATCAAGAAATGCACCCTAAAACCAACTATTATGAGATCCAAATCATAGGTCCTATGTGGTAAGAATCTTAATAATGACAAAAACTATGATTCCATCAAAGAATACTAGATCAACTAAAAAGAAACTTCTAGTCATAGCATCAACCTCTAAGATGAACAAGTCGGGGGTCATCATGGAAACAACCACTCTACCTTGTTAGGATAGAGGGCAGGTGTGCATAAATCTCACCCCCTCCCCGGGACACTACTTTTGAGTGGGATTTATTAGATCGATTTGGTTAATGTTGACCTCTGAAAGAGTCATGAGCATTGCCACAACTAACATAATTTCAGCAGCATGCCACCATCTCCATCATAGGGGATGAAAAGTCCATTTTGTAACAGAAATCAATAGACTGACTGCAAAAACAAATTGGCTGTTAACATGCAAACGAAATCATACTTTTATAGAAAACATAGAACTAGTAGGCCATGTAGGCAACGGCTCTGCTTCGTGTATCTTTCCAACATGATATATGTGCCCTATCCTGAGGTATGATGAAGAACCTCAAATCTTTCTGTCTATAGGAAGAGATAGAGGGGCAATATGTGGATGATTTGATTCATTGACAAACATGCTAGTCTTTGGAAAGGAAAACTGGATCTCTGATCCAGAGAGAATGATAAAGTGCTTTTAATCCAACAGTGTTGTGTGGGAGGTCAATCATTTCAGAGGGACTGATTGTGCTACATTATCCAATTACAGCAAGATTTAGGTAGCTTTAAAAGATATTCCCCAGAACAAAAACACATAATTTATCATTTAGGTGGCCATTTTCAATAATAAGGAAGTGCATAAAATTTGAACCATGACCAATCTTGATTTCACAAGTGTGCCCATATAGGCATATACTATTAGCAACCATAGAAACAACCAAGAGGGATGAGTACTTTCGCCTTCAAGTTGTTTTTACATTAACTCTTGAATTATAAATGAAAGGAAATCTTGTGGAAAACATCAATATCAAAAACGTTTTGTAACACTAACAATGAAACAAATAGAGAATTTTAGCTAAGAAGTTTGACAGTGTGGAACGTTGAAACTAACATGGGGCAATCCAAACTGGAAATTGTTGCAATTATGTGGGACGAGAGAGTATATGGTATATGTATCATGTATACACCTTACTCGGATGCAAATGACCGTCATTGGGCTACCAAAGCAAACAACAAAAGGGTAACTTGACATATTGCATACTCAATCTGTATAGTGAATTGCTAAACACCATGATTTAGGTAACATAATGATGACGATGTATGTGAAAGTGAGGATAGCACTCTACCAGATATTCAAGAGGACCTAGAATAGAATGTGATGTGAACTTTTCAACTTTATTCAACAATCAAATGTTTACAAATTGATTACCATCTTTTCGAGAGAGCCGGATCTCTCCAGAGAGGTTTTCCGCCAATTACACAATACAAAACTCATGCGTAAACACTTCTACCCCCTTCTATTTATACTTCTAATAGCCAACTTACTTGACTAATTGACCAGCCCCCACAATTGACTAATTGACCAGCCCCCTATATTATCCTTACTATCTATATGTAACAATACCCCCCCCCCCAAAAAAACATCCACCTTGTCCTCAAGGTGGAAAGAAGAAAATAATTCTGGAGTTTTACACTTCTTGGCTTTGTACTTGTTCCAGAAATTCGTATTTCGGTGTACTCTTGAAATCTTTAGGGCTTGAGACTTGAGAGATAGTTAAAGTCAGTTTTTGGGCTTAAGAGAAGGATATAAATGTGGGCTTCACCGTAGCCTTTGAAGTCCAATAGAATGAATAAACCCCTTGTTTTTCTTTGAACGTACATATGGTTGTTCCAAAAAACATATGCGGATGAAGAACCATGGATGACTGGTGACGGAGGTGGCTAGGACGATGGTGGTAACGGCAAAAACAACACCAGCGGCGGTGGTAATGGCGGTGGTAAGCCATGGTTGTTGCCCAACCAAAATCTTCCCATGATGCAATTACTTGTACTCTCAACCGAAATCATGTTCTTCTTTTCTTTGTCGATCATCAATACAACCTGGAATAGCCTCTTGCATGTTCTTCGTTTCTTCTCTGCCGGGGCCTTCTTTGTTGTCGATTTACTCCTCACCGTTGATTTTGTCTTTGCCTTCCCCTTGATCTCATAGCAGAATCTTGGGATCTTGAAAATGAAGTGCTGGGATGGGTTTAGGGTTTTAAATTTTGACGGGCTTGATGGAATAGGCTTGGATTCCTTATTTTCCTTCCTCGCGTTTCCCTTCTTGCTCTTCTTCTTCATGGGCCAATTGAGTGGTGTTGTTTGCTTGGGTTTTGGATTCTAGATCAAACCTCGATTTGAAATTAAATCTGATTTTGGCTTCAAATTTGATCTTTCTCCTTCCTTCTCTCTCTCATCTTGTTTTCTTTTTCTCTTTTCTGTCGAGACCATAAGTTTGCGATCTTGATCAATTGATTGTTCTTGGACAAAATTCAAGTCTTCTTGAATCACAACAGAATTCTGAGTCTTTTCTATTACAGTCGTTGTAACAACCGCAACGCCACCATCTCCTTCCTTCTTTCTCTCATCTTGTTTGTTTTTTCTCTTTTCTGCCGGGACCGTAAGTTTGCGATCTTGATCAATTGATTGCTCTTGGACATAATTCAAGTCTTCTTTAATCGATATCTTTATGACTTTCAATCTTCTTGAACCACATCCATGGAAGACTTCATCGAAGTAATATCGTCCATCATTTTTGCGCCATGATAAGCATGCTCCAGGTCAATTCCAGAATCGACTGCTTTGATACCATTTGATGCGGACTTTTCATCTTTTTTCAACAATCAAATGTTTACAAAATGATTACCAGCTTTTCGAGAGCGCCGGATCTCTCCAGAGAGGTTTTCCTCCAATTACACAATACAAAACTCATGCGTAAACACTTCTACCCCCTTCTATTTATACTTCTAATAACCAACTTACTTGACTAATTGACCAGGCCCCACAATTGACTAATTGACCAGCCCCCTATTATCCTTACTATCTATATGTAACAAAATGTTACCATGGATGGTGGTAGTTTTGGTGCAATATCAAACATGGTTATGATACATGATGCTATAAAGTTTGGGAGTTACTTGTGTCTTGTTGCAATCATTAAGGAATTATAATTTGTTATAATTACCATTCCTGCTTCCCTCCTCCACTATATTGGATGGTTCTTGGCAAATCTAACATATGGATGAGAGAACATACATAAATATGTGCTCATGTTTATTTGGTGCATGGATATTGTACAAGTATCAAAAGAAGATCAGACTCGTCCATAACTTCGTAGGACATGTAACCTTTTGATAAAAAAGAACTTGCCTAAATAATTTTGTTAATGCAAACTTATTGTTTCCATCCCCATCACCAAAAGTCCTGGATCCACCACTAACTATAGAGAATCCTAATCCCATGGTACCATTGCAACTCAGATAGCATTACACTTGATGATTTAATATTCAAATATACTACACAAATGTCACCCATTTCTAACAAGACAAACCTTAAAACACAAGTTAATACTCATCAAACTAGAGACACTCTCCAAATTAGTTCAAACCATATATACTTGGCAAAATAGATAGGGGTTGATGCACTTTCACAACTTTTTCAATTATACTTGAACTCTCACAAATACAATCATATGAAATACAACATTTAGCTTTAATCAAATTAACTAACATATATGTTTCTGCTCTCAATTCTCCTTCGGTTTTTGCTGACAGTCTAAAGGACTGTGTTTTCTAGCTTCTCTGTTCAGGATTCTGGCGTCTTTGTGGGTTTGTTTTCTTCAGTCAGCTTTCGTTTCTGGTCAGGCTTCAGACCAGGTCAAATGGTCTACATCTACGGTTAGGTTATTTGCACGTTTGTTTTCCCTGATTAACTCAAGTGGTGATCTCAAGCTAGGCCCTTTCAAACAGCCGTCATTATTTTGGTGGGAATTTCAGTGTTGGGTGAGTTTCTCTGCAACTCCAGCACTAGCTTCTCAGTCAGCCACAATATCCAATCACCAACGGTGCGAATTCTACAATGTTGGATTTGAGGGTTATAGTTTTTTTGTTGTTGTTATGGTTGGTGTTTTCCTCATTGTTTCAAGTGGCATCAGTGGCGGTGGTGGTGGCAGTGGGATGTTTTGTGGTGTCAGCTGGGGTTTTATTCAGGTGGTTTGGTAGCGTTTTAATTAGTTTGGAGGAGATTGTAAGTGCAGAAAAGTTAAATGCATGTAAAATATTGCTCGTATGCAAAATGCAACATTGTTCTTAACATCAACCACAATAATTGAAGACTGGGCTATAGAAACATACCTAACAGTAAATGAGAGAAGTAGGCCTGGGAAAAGAATATCCCCAAAACCCAACACTCCGTATCCACCCCAAGGATCAGAGAGTCGTGGGAACCTCAGAACCATAGGAATTGATTCTCCACTGCTGCTATCACCTTTAGCAACCTGCAAAATGTAAAACATGAATACTTTGATCATGATCAACCATAAACATAAATGAAATGTTTGTAACATATGCACTGAAATAACAAAAACATTTAGAAAGAGAAGCAAAGTAGAAGGAAAAAACTTATTCGCTCTCATTATAAGTTGGACAAATTGGAAACTATTGGGAAGAAAGTCTAGATGACAGGGCAAAAGTATAGATGAAAAAATAAGAATACAGGCTTCCACTAAAGGGTGTGCCCTAATTGGCCACTCAATGGCAACATCAGCATTCACAATTCATATGAGATAACCCTTGAGCCTCCTTGTTAAAAAGGTTGGAGGGTTGTTCAGGAATAATACGTTATTGAGTTTGAATGTTGAAAATGGAACCTAAGGGGTACCCCTAGTTGGCACCCTGTCAGAATAGAAGCTTAAGAAAAGAAGTTGACTTCATCAAGGATTTCAAATCAAGCATATCAATCGGGGGGGTGTCTCCTTGTTGAAAGGGTTGCTCCCTCGCAGTAAGGACAGTTAAGAAGGTTATTCCTTTACAGTGAACGCCTCAAAGAGAGAGCTTAGAGACATCATATCATAGGTGGTAATCTAAGAAGGCTAAAGATGTACTTTCTAGCTTTTTTCCATATTTGAGCCAATAGGTCAATTAGAGTTCCACTTAACTCTTCAGCATATGCATTTCTTGTTGAAATGGGTTGCTCCACAAAACAGGAACAGGATCACTCCCTACGCGACCTAACCATTGGATAGGGGGCGACTCGCATAGGCCTTTTGGCCCTGAACGTTCAGTACATTTTTGGCGATTGTCGCACATTCTATGCGACCATCGCGTGCACATAGCACATGTTGCATAGACCTGCAAGGCATGCTTTGGGCAAATTTTTTTGGCAGATTTGGGGCTTTTCAACCCATTTTGGCCTCTGGCCACGTAGCTCACATTTTGCATATTTAATCCTCTCCCTATCAGTTCTTGATCAAGTTTTTTAGAAGAAAAACTTGTGTTCTTCCATAGCAAGAGAGAAAGAGTGTAAAGATTACTCCATTTGGCTTCTCAACTGGTTTTAGTGATCGTCATCTCTTGTAAGTTGCATAGTACTCCTCTTTGGTATTAATATACAAGTGATCTCTCTCTCCCAGTGGATGTACACTATCTTACGGAGTGGAACCACGTAAATCTCATGTATCATTTACTTGCTTTACTACATTTAGCTAGTTTATGGTGATATTGCCTTAGGATTTAGCTTGAGGTTGGTTTATTACACTTGGATGGCCATTTACTTGTTGCTAGACCTGAAACAATCGCATTTGTTGTTTGTGGTTCACTTCCACTTTCTCAGTATTTTGGGACCTACCGGATAGTTTGTTGGTTTCTTTGTTTGGCAAGGTTAGAACCCTTACATTCCTAACTGTTCTCCAAAATCTTGATTGTATTGAGCCTCTTCAAAGCATTCAACACGTTCGGTTCTTTTATGCATTCCCCCACTAAAGCATTCATCTTCATGCTACTTAAAATGCAATCAGTACGTCTTTAAAACCATATACATCTTTACCTCTATCCTACTCCCAATCAACTTCATCCCACCACTAAACACCTATAGAGCTTATACCAACTTTAAGAGACTTTTTGTTGAAATCAAACTATAAAATCACATTCTTCAATATACTCCTGAAAGATAAGTGAATATAAGTAGTAGTGTTGTTGAGATCTATCTAGCCCTAAATAGCTTTGGAATTTCTCCATTTTAAATTCTATTTAAATGAAAGGTAGAAGGTTTTGGGGATTATAAAATGATATATAGTGCGATACAGTCAAAACAAGGTATTATAGTAGAAACCGAATAGATACCTCGGATACAGATAWRCTTATCAACAGATTCTCTATCCTCTCTTTTCCCATTTCAATTTCAATATTTATGTTCGTTTTCATTATAGGATAACAATACCTTTTTTTTCAACCCAATCGCTCTTTTGATTTTGGAATTTTTTTTATCAATATATTGTTTCTTATACACACACATCTCCATTACGGAATGGAAAATGGTAATATTTAGGATTCATTAAAAAATCAAGAATACATTCCTGGTAATCTCTCCATAATAACCACAATGCTGCCACCGGTGCTCCAAAGCGACCATAGCCACATCACATGTGAAGCCATTAAGCATCACCAGTTCACCACACACTATCAATGCCACTAATCTACAAGTCAGGGGATGAGTTTCAAACACAATAATCATGGCGCATGGCTTAAGCATGACCCCAACCTAAAAACGAGGAAGGTGCATGGTGTACTAGACAACATGGACAAGTTTGCAATACCAAAAACAAAATGAACCAAGAATGGAAGTAAATCAAATAATAGATATCTGTTAGAGCAAAAAAAGTTAAATTAGTACTTTATTCTGTCAAATTTGTGAATTTTGGAGTGTTTAAACATGACATCAAATAGACAAGATAAAGCATGTTTTTTGAGAGATGAGCAGAAATGAGGTGAAATTATTGCTTTGGTACTGCATGAGGAGCAGAGAGAACAAAAGCTCCATTGGTTCAACGTAAATAAAAACTAGAAGGTACTTATACTAATTCCCTTTGAATGCATTCAAGGCTTTAAACTTTTTTCTAGTATTTTCTTGAAAGTCTCATTTATTTGCAAGTTTGTCCATCTTTATTTCCTATTCATCCTTAATTTCCAATTAATGTTCCTTCTATTTCTAAGATGTTTTCCATCCAAACCATGATAGGCTAAAAACCTTAAGGGGTGAAGTAAAGACTAAAAACCAAAATTTGAAGTTAAAGACTAATAACCTTGTGGGGTTAGCTAAACTAGCAATAACGCTTGGGCCTTTGGGGATCCTCCTAAAAGATTACTGGTTCGAGTCCTGCAAGGCCACTCGGGATTTTCTTGGCTGTTCTCTAGGGCCTCGGGGTTAGTCGAGGTGCGCGCAAGTTGGCCCAGACACCCATGGTTAACAAAAAGTAGTTGTTGATTGATAGGTGTTAATTTATTAACCCTATTACATTATTTTCTTAATCATTTTTCCTTTTTTTATTTGTCCATTAGTGTCTTAATTGAGTCTTTTTATGTCATACTTATGTATATTAGTAGTATTATGTCATAATCTAATGTTATTTTGCCATTTATGCAGATTTTTGAAGTTTTTTTGGCCAAGTCCTCCTACAGGATCGTATTTGGTACTGCAGCAGTCCTTCAGTAGCAGGCAGTGGGCTGCACTTTTGTTATTGGATCGAAAACCGTGGACTGCATTGATGGAGCTGCTGATTTCAAGCCTTGGGCTTTAGTTTATACTTATAAGCCTTCTTTTGTCTTATTAGCCTATCTTCTTTTGTAAGCTTAAACTCCTTATAAATAGGAGTAGTTTCTTAGCCAAAATACATACTTAACCTTTGGGTTTTATAATTTCTCTAGTCTTTTATTGTAAGCTTTCGGCCTCCTTGTTTCAAACAAGAACCGAAAATTGTCAAGTGTAGTTTGTTCTCAAGTATTAATCTAAGTGCAAGTGTTCAAGTTTCATCTTTTTCTTTTCTTACTTACGATTTTCAAAAGCTTTTTGATTTTAGTTACGAAGTTGGAATTAATCGATTATTGTTGCATTACATTGGATTTCATCCGTTGTGGCTCATGATTACTTTCTTTAGATAAAAATCTGTTTTCCAAGTGTTTGCATGTAGTTTCTCAATTTCAGTAACGAAACTTGTTTTGCAAGTTTCGTGACCTAAAGTGCAAGCTTCCTTAACTTCTTCTTTACAAGTCTTTACTTTTACTTTATGCCTTCTCTTTTCTGCACTTTACTTTTCAATATTTAAATTCTAGTCTTTTACTTTCTAGTACTTTAATTTTCAGTAATTTAATTTCTGCACTTTACTTACAGCAATTTACTTTTCTGCAATTTAATTTCCAGCAATTTAATTTCAGTCATTTATATTTCTGCACTTCAATTTCCAGTATTTTAATTTCCGTACTTTAATTTATAGCACTTTAATTTCCAGTATTTTAATTTCTGCAATTTACTTTTCCGCAACAGTTATTTATTTTTTAGTCTTTACATCCTTCGCGAGAAGAAACTGAGCGATGATGAGCTAAACGCCTTAGCTTGGGGTGTAAGGGAAAATTAAGACCAAAGCCGATGTGAAAGTACAGAGGTGTCTTATTAGCATTATAGTCTAACTATTTGTTTTAGGTGATTAATATTTCATTGAAGATTACATTAAAATTAATTGACAACTAATTTTATGTATGAAAATGCATAACTTTCAGAGTTAAGATAAATAAGAAAACCTAAGGTAATAGGAGAAGGCTATAAATAGCTTTAGTATTTGGCAAGTACTATATTCCTACGGTGTAGGATGGTAACACTGTTGTGCTAGGATTCATGACGTCTAACATAAATGATATCGTATCTATAGCATGTTCGCCTGTGTGTACTCTTGGGAGGTTGTTTGAACCGATAGTTGATATTGTGACAATTCTATTTATAGAATTGTGACAGGAGTGCTATGTCACCTTTCTGCCGGATCACCTGTTTTGTGTCTTAATCAACCTTTGCACCCGCGCGCTTCTTTTTACAACTGATATTTTCTTAGATGCTAATCAAACCTTCCAATTTTAGATAAATCGAATCCCTGGAATTCGTCATCTAAAATTAGTTTTTCTAGACTAGACTTTTGAAGAACTTTACAAAGCTTTCTCTATGGGAACGATATCTGGTACTTATAAAATTATTACTTGTTACAATATGATAGTAGTTCAAGGTGTATACTTGCGCCGAGTTCTATTTTTGTGTTGAATTCTAAGGTTGCATAAACCGAACGAGCATTGATCGTAACAATTCTTTACTTGTTACAAGACGATAGTAGTTCAAGGTGTATACTTGCGCCGAGTTCTATTTTTGTGTTGAAATCTAAGGTTGCATAAACCGAACGAGCATTGATCGTAACAATTCTTTCCAACCATTCTTTCAAGGTTAAATTGTAAAATAACATCC